GGGGGGGGGGGGGGGGGGGGGGGAATACAGCTGATAATCCCCTTTTTATCCATACCTTTTGTTGTGATTCTTGTGAATCTACTGCACACGACGATGAACGAAATCAAGTGACAGTCCACTCGGCCTGAGTTGAACCTAAAAAGAATATAATAATAATAATAATAATAATAATAATAATAATAATAATAATAATGTAATAATAAGTGTAAGAAATACTAAGAAACGAAAAAAAGTCAAATGACTCAAATCTGAATTTTCCCAGAATCAGTAGATCACCAAAATGAGATGAATTCTGTTACCTTTTTTTTTCACTTAGCAATTACGAATTCGTGACTTTTTCTTTGAGTCTGATTTTAGTCTTCATTTTACGCATTGTGATATTGTATATTTTGTTCTTCTAATTGTGAATAATACTGAATATACAATTAGAAAAAAAATCGAATCAGGAACTTCAGTCCGCGAGGAGACATCTGCAAAAGCGTTGTTTTCAACGAACTTCCGTTTTGTGTGACCCTTCAGCAGGCTCACCTCCAGAAACCTTGTTATGACTCATGAGTCTTATCTTATGTGACTATGTCTTCTCCTTCCTCTAAATGTTGTGACTCTTATGACACTTCTCCTTCCTCTAAATGTTATGACTCTTATGACACTTCTCCTTCCTCTAAATGGTAAAGGTTCAGGTGCAGCAAAATTTTGGACCATTTCTCAATTTAATTGAATTTATGCTTGTCGTCCTTGTGCAGAGGCCGCTTGCTTTTTTTTCTTTTCTTTTCTTTTCTTTTCTTTTCTTTTCTTTTCTTTTCTTTTTTTTTTTTTTTTCTTTTTTTTTTTTTTTTTTTTTTTTTTTTAACTGCCCGTACGGGAGCTACCTTCTTCGCCCGAATACAACGGATGGTCAATATAGCTGTATCTGAGGCATCTTTCAGTCTAGATACAGCTATAATGACCGTACGTTGTATTCGGGGGAAGGTAGGGGTGCTGGTACGAGCAGACCCCTCTATCTCCCCCAGGAAGGGTCGGGGAGCAACCAACGCCTGCTGGAAATCGGGTCCAGCGTCCCTTACACAAGAACGGAGTTTTTTTCGCACGGAGTTTTTTTCTGGCTGTCTTCCAACCTGCCAGCATTGATTACCCTGGAGACTGGGGATTGACTGAGCAGGAGGGTGAGCACTCAACTTGGGACCATCTACCACCCTTCTTCCTGCAGTTGCAGCCTTCGCTGTGCCTATATCTCTCCCTCACTCTAGTCCATACCACTGGAGAGGCCATTTGCGAACCTGCTCTTTCTTTGTAACGTTCCAATTTTAACGGATGTCATGAAGGTCCTGTCCTTTCCTGTGTTTTCTTTGCCTTGCCGTCCTTTTGACTTTCCTCTTCCTCTTCCTCTTCCTCTTCCTTTTTCGTTCTGTGACTTATGCCCTTCCTTTCCTTTTTCTCTCCTGTCCTTTTCCTTTTTTCTGTCCTGTCCTTTCCCTTTTTCATTCCTCATCTTTCCTCTCCTTTCCTTTCCTCTCCTTTACCATTTGCCCTCCTTTTCATTTTTCTTTTTCCATTTGTCCTACTTTTCTTTTTCCTTTTCCTGTCCTGTCCTGTCGTCCTTTTTCTTTTTCCCGACCATTTCTCGATTTGTGCATGTCACCTTTTGGAACGATACACAGACGATTAGCATGGCCCCTGTCCTTTTATTTCTCTCCTATTGTTTGCCTTTCCTTTTTCCTCTCCTCTCTCCTTTTCTCTTTTTCCTCTTCCGTTTCTCGCTTTCCTTTTCATTTCCTTTTTCCTTTTCCTTTTCCTTTTCCTTTTCCCTTTTTCCTTTTCCCTTTCATTTCCTTTTTCCTTTTTCCTTTTTCCTTTCCTTTTCTTGCCTCCTCCCCCTTTCCCTTCTCCATTTCCTTTCCCCTGCGACGACTTTCCGCGCCACTGATCGACTTTCCTTTTTTTTTTTTTTTTAGAAAAAAAAAGAAGTCCACATCGTATCGTAGTAGTAGATGCTGGATGCTAAGCCTCGGGAACTGCCTGTCGTTGTACTCAACCAATGGGAAGATCAGATGGCTTGTGACAACCCCCTACGGACAGACCCCCCCAAGGACAGTCTCCCAGTCCAGTCTCCTCCAGGGCCCATCATTTCACAGACTGATTGACTTTCCATTATGTGTGGTTTCCTACTCGCTGCTGCTGTGCAATTTGAGTTTTGAACAGGATTTCCAGAGGGCTCTTCAACAAGTGCGGGCCTCGGTGTCTGCCAGCGAACTCGGTCTCTACGAAGACTGGAATCGTCAGTTTGGGAGTCTCGCAGTCTGATGTTTTCTTAATCGGAGACCTCCCCCGCCCCCCCTCCCTCCCCCTTCTGTTGCTATGCAGAGTCTGCACCCCTGCCCTCATTTGTATGTGTCATCGCTGCTTCCCTCAACAAACAAGCGGCCGAGATTTTGTAGGCGTGGCTGTCTGATACGCCCTGAGCGTCCTACATTCCAAACCTAGCACACGCTTACTCCCTATCTGGCCGACTCTTTCTTCCCGTAAATGACGGCCCCATATGTGCCATAAACCAGGGCCCCTTGTGCACCTAAGGAGAGCACCCCCCCCCCATGTACTACCAACCCACACTTGTTCCCGCCATTCGTGGCACCCACCCCGCAAATCCCCAACTGCAAAAATTATACGCTACATTGCCGCCACTCTTTACTTTCAGTAGTGAGAGTGTGGAATCACCTCCGCACTTTCTTTCTCCCATCCACTGAGCCATATCACATGTACACTACTAAGTTCTAATTAATGCCTCCGCCCCTACAGTCTTCCCCCGAATACAACGCACGGTCATTGTTGCCGAATTTGGTGCATCTTTCGGTCTAAATTCAGCTATAATGACCGTACGTTGTATTCGGGGGAAGACTGTAGGAGCACATCCACACTAGGACCTTTCTGAATGTAACTGGACTCAATCATAGGCTAGATTCAGAGAGCGGAGGCCTAGTATGCATATGCTCTTGGCGGACAATAAAGGGCACTTGTGGCTCTTGCCAAGCTCTTTCTAACTTACACCTCATGAGATCCTATGCTGTATCTGGACTCCCTCGTAGGCTAGATTCAGGCGGGAGAATCCTAGTGTAACTGGCTTGGAGCCGGCATCATCATTTGTTTACTACCTCTTTGGAAATTTGGCATTCCGTATCACTCGTCACTGCATATCAGTTTGTTTGGGACTTGGAGCATACTCACACCAGGACTTTTTTTTCCACTCCGCCCTGGACGTAATTTCTGTCAGATGCATCCAAGACTGGCCGTAAAGACGGTCAGATACGTCCAGAAAAGTCCTCGTGTGAGTATGGCCGGCCTTACATTATCCTCTTCCAGATCCTGAAATTTGAAAACCATTATGTGTTTGATCTTCGGACTTTGGACTTCAAACTTTGAAACACATGCTGCTCATTACTTTTCTTGTCTGGAGGGCTTTCCCCTTTATAGCGTCTCCCTTTTTCCTTTCTCCCTCATTCCTCCCTTCTCCATTCCTTTCTCCCTCGTCCCTCTCCCTCCCTCTCCCTCCTTCCTTTCTACCTCCCTTCTCCCTCCCTCTCCCTCCTTCCATTCCTACCTCCTCCATTTCTCCCTCCCTCTCCCTCCTTCCTCCCTACTCCCTTTCTACCTCCCTTCTCCTTCCTTCTTCCCCCCTCTTATACACATCTAGATGTGTATAAGAGACAGGTGCTGATAAGAGCAGACACCACTACCACCTGGGGAGAGACTCCATCTATTGGTGGGGAGCGTCACCTGCTGGAAAACGGGTCCAGCGTCCCA